TACGAACCAAGAATAGACCAATAACTGACTTGATATTTCAATGACGATTCTCTCCATTCACAACTCTCCTCAAAAGCAGTGATGCCAGAGGTTTCTAATAAGTTGTATCTAGTACCTTCATTCCCTAAATGTATGTCCTAAGATCTGCTGCTGACTGCATTCACCACCACGCAAGTGCGAGTGTTCCCGCTGAAATCGAAACGTTCCTCCTCCCGGATTGGTTGAGTTCCCGAGCGTAGCCCTGGCGGTGATCGCCATCATGAAGTGTAACCACAGCGCGATCGATCCCAAAGGCACAAAATTCCCGTTCATTATGAAGCTGTGCTTCTCCTCGTCCAAGACGATGAACGGTGCGTGAAGTAACGAGAACATCGAAAACGTGGACATGGACATAGCACCAGCACCTGGCAACCCAATGTCGGCAGCGGCCGCGACAGTCTTCGCCGACAGCGTCCGGTGGTGTGACGCCCATTTCGGTGACGGGCGACTGTTTCAAATCCGAACACGATGAACCAATGCAAAATGGAGTCCATGTCCTTAGAAGGCAAAAGCAAAAGCAACGAAGAGACCTGGTGGAGATTCACAGTTGCGTTTTGAAAAGAAAAAAAAAATGATTATAGGGGAATTTACGTATTCTCGTCAATCTAAGCAGCGTCCGCACTTCTATTAGCATTTTCACAGCGTCACGCACATATATGACGTGTCTGTTTGTTTCAATTCATCTGCTGTTTGCTTCTCTATCCATTCCAATCGACAGAATTCTTCAAAACTGTTTGAACGCTCTAAACTTTTCAGGTGAGTGTGACTATTGTCGGCAGCCTCTTTTTCTTCGGCAACCTTCCCATTAGAACTGCGTGTTAACCAGCTGTTCTATTATCGGCAACTCGAAATCAGCCCCATTTTGAAGTACGTATGCTTCATTTGAAGAAAAATCTGGCATAACAGGATTGCTCGGTCCTACAAATATAATCAGATTGAAGCTGAAAGACTAAAGAATCGTTTGGATACATTCAGGGAAGTGTGTTGATGGTAAAACATAGTGAAATTAACGTTTCAATTTTGGTTGCCGAAGCCGACATTTACCCTATGTATTGTGGCAACATCAATAACAAATTTTAGTGTTACCAGTAATCAGAAAAATTGTAACCATGGGTGCCAAACAGTGCCAATGACTGTGCCCAAGCTTAGTTTTGGTACACTGTGCAGAGTGACCAACCCCAATGATTCCAATAGCTTCTCGTAACCTGCTTGCACTTGGCTGCTCCTAAAGGCTTGGTTAACAGGTCTGCTTCCATCTTGTCCGTTGGGCAATATGGGATGGTTCCCCAACAAGATCCTTCACAAAACAGTATTTTGTGTCAATGTGTTTTGACTTTCAAGTGGTCCTATCAGCAACGGAAAGAGCAATACAACTCAGGTTGCCTTCGTTGACCAGCACAGGTAACTTCAGTTTCTCGCCAAAGTCGTCCATTTATTTGCGAATTTGCGTACTGCCCATAATCGCATATCAGTTCCATATGGATAGGAAATCAAGCAAAGATGGGACTGCTTGCGATTATAGATAGTGTAGTTCTTGAAGATATTCCGCAGGAGCAATGTATTCTGCTTCAGTGCTTGATAACGAAACTTCAGTCTGTTTGCTACATCTCCAGTTGATCAGTCCAGCGCATAGCTTGAAAATGTACCCGGTATTTGATTTCCGGTCGTCGACTTCGCCAGCCCAATCTGCGTCAGCAAAGCATTCTAGTTTGAAGTGTTTTGTGCATCCCAAATGTGCCCTTGAGATATCGCAAAACTCTTTTAGCTTCGTTCCAGTCGGCTATATTGGTTTCGATACCCGCCTTCCAAGAACAGAGGTTGAAATCGCCACTTGAGTTCCAGATTTTTCAACCAACTTCCTCTCGTGCTGGAAGTTAGCTAAAGTCATCTCCATCCGGAAGCCTGGGAAAGATCCGTCATCTCCTTTAAGTTACCGACCTATCAGCATTCTCCCGGGTTATCTAAAAGCTGTTCGAAAGGGCAGTCTACTACCGGCTCCTAGCATCAGCTGATGAAAACAACTTGTTGCTCGAAGAACAGTTTGGCTTCCGTAAAGGTCGCTCGACTGTTCACCAGCTGACTCTGGTGACAAACCCGGAGAACTTTGAGATTTGAGCTTAATTGATTTTGTAAACAAACACGTCAATCGCCGATTTCTCGCGAACATTCCGAGTCTCTCTGAATGGCATCACACCGGATGCCTTCAACATCGGTCCGGGTGTTCCACAGGGAACCCATCTTGTTCAACCTGTTCACCTCCGATATGCCGGCTCTCCCTGATGGTGGATCGTTGTCCCTGTCCGCAGATGACACATCCATCATCTATAAGGGAAAGGGTCATCGGAGCACTGACCGCCAAACTTCAGAGAGGACTGGATGTCCTGTCTGATAATTTCAACAACTGGAAAATCCGTATAAACGTGGTGAAGACCCAGGTCATCATATTTCTTCATTCCAAATCTCCCACAATTGTTCCGTCTGACAATAATAAGATCAACTTAAACGGCACAGTGGTGGAATGGTCCGAAGAGGTAGTCTACCTCGCCCTTACACTCGACAGCAAGCTACTTTTCAGGGAACACGATGACAAAACGAAAACAGAATGTAACATCCTGATTGTAGTAGGTGTTTCATTCGCAATGGCCAGCATCAACAATCCCTCCTGCGCCCCCAAATTCATTGAATCTGACTCTGTCGATGTATCCTCTGGTCGATCCTCCGGTACCAAATTACCCATTTTGTCATATTGTGCCGGAGCTTTTTTGACGTCCTGAACGTGCCGCGTGTATTGTACACCACCTTTGCTCAGAACAATCAGCTTAGCCCCATCTTTTGCGACAACTGTGAAGGGTTCCGAAGAAAAAGTAGGATCCGTCTTCGTTTTCTTTTGTTGCATGATAAGTACCACGTCTCCTACGTCAACTTCCGATTGTTTGGCTCCTCGTCTTGCATCTGCGTATCTTTTGCTAATCAGTTTAGCCTCTGCGTCTCGCTCTCGGATGTCGATTCGATCCAATGCCGGCTCCCTGCAGTGCCAAAGACGTATTGTGATTATGCGTATACTGATTCAACGCCCATCTCCAGTTCTTCCCCTTTAATTTCGCCGCCGCCATCGCTTTTGTTATTCCGGAGTTCTGTCTTTCCACTGCACCGTTGGTTTGAGGACTCAAGGGAATTGCCTTACGAACCTTCACTCCTTTTTCTTCCCAGAAGGAAACAAAAGCGGAGCTTTGAAAAGGCGGTCCGTTATCGCTTTGGAGTACGAGTGGAAGTCCCCATCGTTGGAAAACGTCACACAAAGCCGCATTTGTGTGAGCCGCGTCAGTCTGCTTCATCTCCACTACCGACAAGTAACGTGAATAAATATCCACGATCACCAAGAATTCCCCTGTTCCAAATCCCGGGATCGAAAGGAAGTCGATCTGAATAATTTCCCAGGGATTTTCGGGCATCTCTCTAGGCGATAGCGATTGAGGTGGGCCTTTCCGAGACAGCAGAGCACAGGTTTCGCAAGACTTCACGAATTTTTCTACTTCCTTTGCCATGCCAGGCCACCAGAAGAATTCCCTCATGATCCGTTTCATATTCACCTCCCCTATGTGTCCTCCGTGTGCTGACGACATAGCTTTGCGCCTCAAAGAGCCAGGTAAAATAACCCTGTCACCCCAGGACATACAAATTTCTTCTTTGCGCTTCGAATCTTCGTAAGTTCTCTGGCCATATGTCTGACTTCACTGCTTCGCGTATTTCCCGGATCTCACTATCATTTTCCGAGCATGATTCGATATCATCCCAGGTTATTTCTAAGACTCCGGCCTCCAGTGCGTAAAGCAAATTTCCAGAATCTTCCTCGTCAAATGGAAGTGCTTCTTGTGCTTCGTTTATCAACCTGGACAGTGCGTCGTTTAGTTTTCCAGTAACTCTTTCAATCGTAAAATCGAATGATTGTAGGCGAAGCGCCCAGGATTCTGCTCGTTTTCCCAATCGATGTTGACTGTTGAAAATAAATTCATTTGCCTCTGCATCTGTTCTGATTACAAAAGTTCGTCCCAATAAATAAAAGGAAAAACGTTCCGCCCCCCAAACTACTGCCAACGCTTCTTTTTGGGTTTGTGGATACTTCCGCTCCGTGGTCGTTAGCGCTTTCGAGGCACATGCAACCACGCGAGGTTTTCCAGAGTTGTTCCACTGCTCGTACTATAGGGCCAAGGGTTTTAATTTCTTTCAGGGCCGAATTTCTCTGGCAGTCGAGTATGGTATGCCAATGTGGGAGAGATGGCGCCAAATGCCATCACCTTAAACTCCAAATGATCCAGAACAGGATCCTTAGGATGATCCTAAAAAGTCCTCCACGGACGCGAAATTCGGAGGTCCAGCGCCTGGCTGGTCTTCAGACTCTAGAAGAGCAAAGAACGGTCTTCTTGGAAAGGTTCAGAGACACCTGACTGAGAACAGATCTTCAGATCATACGTGTTCTAGCACGTTAGGTTAAGTTATATTCGTAGTTAGGTAGGTTACCGCATTTTTCAATTCAAAGGGGTGTTCTGTAAACATAAAATAAACATAATTTTACTACTACTACTACTAGGGTAGGTGTACCAGTTATGGTTATACGTTCCTATTATGGTGTGTTCCAATTATGGCCTATGGGAATTCCATAGGCCATAACTGGAACACACCATAATAGGAACGTATGGTCATAACTGGTACACCTACCCTATATGTATATAGAACGCAAAATTGTTAAGGTGGCACGCTTGCCCCACCAGACCCTAAGTGTCCAGATCCGTATGCATGATTTCGTCTGCTTCTTGGATTGCTTCGGAAAAGTACTCCAGCAGGAGCTACATTTTTCAACCCCAAGCCAAAGTTAGGATTTCTTCAGCAGCAGATAGGTACCTATGAGAATGTTCAAAGGAAGACCCCCAAAGGAGGTCATAAATGTAGTAGCATACACCCACCTCTTCGAAATCCTCCTCGTTCATTCGGAACTGCGTCATCAGCTGCGGTATCGTGATTGGAAGACTTTTAGCGATCGAACTGTTCTGACGACCTTTCTGGCTTGATGGTATGCACATACCGTCCTCGTTGTTATTGCGGGTGGATTCTGGGGAGGCAAAAAAAAACGAAATCAGTCAGAAACGTGGCACCTAGGTTGGGGATTCTCAGCTCACCATCGAATTCAAGTTCCTCCTCGTCCGACAGCGTATTCGAGAGCGGAGAGTGATCGTTCTCCATGCCGTCGATGTCGAACAAGCAGTCCGTCTCGTAAGAGGCTACCCGATGCTGCTGCTGCTGCTGCTGCATCGTCAACGAATTTGTACTGGAATGTTGCATCATTGTCGTTGTTGGCTGCTGCGGTTGTTGTCTATTGATGGCACCTCGGGAATTGTTATAACTAACGATATTGTTATTGTTGTTGTTGTTGATGTGGTTATTGGCGTTGTTGTAACTAAGGTTTGCTCTGTTTAGGATTCGGCCGTTCAGTCTTGCGTTGGCAGACGACGAAAACGGAGACTGCTCGACCATTGAGGAGGAAGATGATGGAGTAATGGGTTGCTGCCGGTTGTTGGTCGTAGGGCCATTCGCAGTTGTCATCGGTGGACTATTACCGGTGGACATTGGCAGATATTCAGGTGTAGGCGGGGGTGTCTCCAGCTGACTGTTGGCGCTCGAGTCGTTCAGATTGGTTCCATTGCTGTTGGAAACCGGTCCGGCCGTCGTCATCGCAACAGTTTGCTGCCCACCGTTGTTGCTACTGCTGCTGGTGCTGTTGCTGCGTACCAGCAGTAGTTCATCAGGTACTTGGTTGTTTGCTGCTGCTAGCTTGGCCAGGATCATGCAGTCCTGTTCGCCACGTTCCCGTTTTACCTTGAGGACGGCGAATTCCTGCTCGGTGAAACGCTGAATGCGCTCGTTGGCGGCCTCCGTTTCCCGCTCCATGTAGGCACGAAGCCGTTGCATAAACTGGTTATCACTTTTTGCTTTGCTGAGCAGCTTGCGCTTCTCGATCAAGTCGCTGTAGCTTAGGCTGGATCCGTTCAGGACGATACCGAACGCGGGGGAGTAGTTGCCTCCGGCCATGCGGGCACTCAGTTGTTCCTCGTTCGTCTGAAAATGGGTTTGGAAGTTTTAGTCAAAGTCATAAAGAGATTCGTGGAGCGTTACCATCAGTGACGAATTGATCAAACAGGTGATCATGGCGGAGGCATTGGCATCGGTGTTCGCATCATCAGCCATGTGCCGGGCAAAGACGAAACTTTCACAGTACCGGCACTGGCTCAGGTCCCATTCGTCGAAGATGCGTTCCTTCCGCAGTAGCCCGTCGAACTGGACCTGGACATTGAAGCACCGGACGGGGCCAAGGGCCTGCAATCAAGAGGAAACGGGAGGTCAGTCATACAGGGCACGTTACTGCTAATCGGTATGGACAACAGGCAGTACAACTAGTCGGCTGATAGGGGTAAATTGCAAAAATCAATCAATGAATTTCTCTAAGTTGTACACACAGCAAGGGGTCATCATTACATGGTCAATGAGCACGGCGGCGCAGAACCGGAGATTGCTGGTGCCGGCGGCATACGAATTGATAGGGTAAATAACGGCGGCCAAACAGCGCAGTACTATGCATCGACTCGCGGTTGGGGGGCGCAAATGGGGATGGCAGATGGTAGCTGTATGCGCGAAAGAGTGGGGAAGATAAACACGAAGCTCTGTTTGTATGTTTTCAAGAGGTTTGAATTTCTTTTACTTCGACTTTATATAATGGAAAAAAGAAAGAGAATCTTTATGATGCAGTACAGAATGAATGCTGTTTTTTGTTTGCATGCATGCATGCGAAGCAAAGGGATATAGGCAGGTACCCATACCACGCCTCGAGTTAATCGGTTTCGAATATCATCAGAGCTGTTTGTTCCATTATTGCAGTGTTTGTTGATGGTTAAAAGGCTTCTTATTTCATTCTTGAAATCGACAACTTTGGAGACATGATTTATTGTGATACTATTTGTCTGTTGATGTAAATTATGAACTACAAAAACGCTATCACAAATATATTAAAATTATGATCGGTTGTAGCTCCACAAATCACCATAATAAATAAAAAAAAAAACTGAAGAAGAGAAATAATGGATAAAAGCCGGGACCGGTTTATTTTCGTTCCGAAGTGGTGCTTCATTGCAGTTTTTATTTTCATTGTTTTCCTACGCAACTCTTTTGTATTTCTGCTGACTAGTGCAACCCTAACCCTCAACACCTTTGGTGCCCTTGTTGACAGAGTTGACTTTCTTTGACAATTGTGAGTAAATTTAGGACATTGTGCTATTTTAGAATGCCAAAAGACTCAATTCTCAATTAAAATTAATACGCAACGCATGAACTTGAAAACAAACTTTGTCTAAACTTTTCCTTTTGGTTCAAGGCAATGGAGTTCAACACTATATATCGTCCAATTATTTATCCCCTTCTCATCCTCATTAATCACCGTGCGTTACGGCTCGTATACGATTCATCCGCGGGGCATCCGTCCAGTTATTTATAGATTTATAGAGTGATGATGATATTTTCTACTGCCTACACATCTTCAGCTCTACTGCACGTGGTGGCGGCAAAGACAGTGCGGTGGTGATTACCACCATCCCCTCCACTCACCCGACGAAAACCGTTGTTGACAATTTGTTGGTTTTGGAGGTGTTTTGGAGCAAAGCAGCTTCCGTGAACCGTAGGTGTGACCCCACTCTCGATAGAATTAATTAACTTAAGGCGATGACCTTGACACATGCATGCGGATGAACGCGTTTAACGGCATTGTAGTTACAACAAACGTAATTAAATTTAAAACTAATTAAAAGAAGACAATTTGAGCAATCACACATTAAGTATATTCTTCTTTTTAGCTATCACGACCCAACTGGAACTTTAAGTATGTTCTCAAACCTATGCCTGCTACTATGATACTACCTACGCTATTGAATTTAAAAACTTAGGGAAGGGTTTTGGTTCAAGACTGAAATCAAAGTAGTCGTTGGATTACCTGACCTGGTCACTCCTGTTATTTTTCGCTGTCATTTCAATTCAAGAGCTCGATGTGAGCAATTCAAGTTTGCTTTAATAAAACATTCTTTTGTTCGTTAAGTCTCGGCCTGTTAATTATTGCCCCGTCCTGTCCACGTAGTTCCTTCAGGTTATGGGCTCGTCTACAAAGGAAGGCTCCGGAATTCCGCAGTTGAATGGAACGAACTTCGAGAATTGGCGGTTTCGAGTTCAACTGTACCTGGATGCGGCAGAAGTTTCGGACGTATTAACCAAGCCAGTTCCCGGTGAATCGGACCAGAGAAGGGCGAAGTGTTTGCAGACAGATCGGAAAGCGAAGTCCTTGCTAGTTGGATTCCTTTCTGATGAATGTCTAGGCATAGTACGGGGCAAGGAGACTGCTCGAGAAATGTGGAAGGCACTGGAAGATACATATGCGAAGAAGTCTGTAGCAAATCAGACCCTGTTGCAAAGCAGTTGGCCAAGCTTCCTATGAAAGAAGGAACTTCGATGCGGCATCATTTTCAACAGTTCGACGATAATATCAAATCGGCAAGCGCGAAGCTCGAAGAGAACGACATGGTATCGCAATTATTTCTCACCCATCCCGATAGCTACGATAGAATATCAACGAGAACGACCTCAAATTGGAGACTGTGAAACAGCGGTTACTGGCTGAAGAATCCAAGCGGTCTGATAGGATGGAAGATTCGAGCGAAGACAAGGCAGCAGCGTTTGTTGGAGGCAGAAATAAGAAGCAACGAAAGTTCAACGGAAAGTGTCATCGATGTGGCAAAACTGGCCACATGATGAAAGATTGTCGTGTCAAGAAGACCGATGGTAACGTCAACGCAGTGGTTGGAAGCAAAGCAGTTTCGTTCATGGTGAACCAGAAGCAACCGAAGGTGCACAACAAGCGAACCATCTTCTACGTGGACTCCGGATGTAGCGACCATCTGGTTAACAGTTTAGATTGCATGCAGTCGGTCCGGAAGCTCAAACAACCTTTCGTTATTGATGTGGCCAAAGATGGTGTGTCGATTGTTGGGAAATATGAAAGCTAAGTCGAGGGGATTTCCAAAGAAGGTCTTCTGTTCCAGATGAAAAATGTAATTTTCGTACCAGAGCTGCGAGGCAACCTGCTTTCTGTCAAGAAGATGTCCCAAGCCGGGATTGACGTGTTGTTCACAAGCCGCGGCGGAAAACATCAGGCGCTGATGAAGCAAGGTGATGCAGTGATCGGTATGGCACAGTTGCGAGGAAATCTCTACGAGTTGGAGTTTGATCTGGACGTGGTAGGACCTACAGCAAATCTCTGCGCAGCGGAGGTCAGCAATCTCTGGCATCGTCGTTTGGGTCACGCCAATCAGACCACGATGATTACGTTAGTTCGACACAATATGGTGGAAGGTCTTGGCCCAAAAGTTGATTCAATTCGATTCTGTAATACATGTGTAATTGGAAAGCAGTGCAGAGAACCCTTCAACGGAACTCGATTGCTAGAGCGGATACATTCGGATGAGAGCGGACCAATCGATCCACCGGCTTGGGATGGTTCAAGATATGTTGTCTCCTTTATAGATGACTACAGCCATTTTACGAATTCGTCGGCCGAACAAGAAGCAGTAGCTGTTATCGAAAGCGAAACCGAAGATGAAGTCGATCCGGATACGCAAAGCACCGTTGATCTGGATGAAGAACCAACCGAAGAAGCTCCATCCGAAAACCCTGGGGCGCTCCCTTCACAACATAGAGGTGATGACTATTCAGAGTCTGACACTAGGCGCAGTGAACGGGAGCGCAGGCTCCCAGGTAAGTTACTTGACTTCTTTACTGGGTTTAGAGCAACATCTGCTGGTAAAATTTCAACTCTCCCAGATTCCCCGGAATCGTACGCCGAAATCGAAGATCGACAGCTCTGGATGACCGCAGTTAGAGACGAGTTAAAATCTCTTGAGGAGAATAAGGTGTGGACGACGGTGGGATGCCCTGCCGGTGTCAAGCCCTTGCAGTCGATGTGGGTCTTTTGCGTGAAAGAGGATGAAGAAGGAAACCATGTGCGATGCAATGCAAGACTGGTAGTCAAAGGTTTCTTGCAGAAGGCTGGCCTGGACTACAATGAAACATATGCGCCCGTTGCGAAGTTGACGACGATTAGAATTGTGCTGGCCGTAGGCGTACAAAGGGGATTCCAATTCATGGGGAGCTACAAGAGAGAATCTTCATGGCTGTTCCGGAATGGCGTCAAGGCAGACACTGGGCTTGTGTGCCAGCTACAGAAATCGTTGTATGGTCTGAAGCAGTCTCCTCGTTGTTGGAACGAAAAATTCAATCAAGCGCTGCTGAAGCTAGGTTTCACACGTTCCAAGCACGATTATTGCCTATACACCCGTATCGACAAGAGGGGGAAAGACGTTGTTTTCATCGTGCTGTATGTTGATGATCTCCTGATAGCAGATATGCAGCTGACCACCATAATGAAGCTGAAACGCGAACTGTCGGCGATGTTTGAAATGACCGATTGTGGAGAGTTGACTCACTTTCTTTGGATGAAGATACGGTACGATCAACAAAATGGTACAATGATGCTGTCTCAAGAAACCAGCCTGGAAAAGATCTTGCAAAAGTTCGGCATGGCGGAGTGCAATGCAACAAGGACTGAAAATGTAGAAAGGATTGAAATTGGATCGCCAAGTGGCCGAAGGTGTTCAAGAACCGTGCGGTGGGAAGCCTGATGTAAGTGATGATGTCCACAAGGCCGGACATTTGCTTTCCTATCGGATATCTGGGGAGATTCCTACTTCAACCTGAACAACAACATTGGACAGCTCTGAAACGGGTTGTACGATACATAGAAGGATCGATGACGTTTACTCGAGACAATCAAGCGGCGCCACTCATCGGGTTTGCTGATTCAGACTGGGCCACCGATACTGACGACCGGAAATCAGTAAGCGGATTTGAGCCTGCTTTCCCACGTTCTGTCGATCCTTTTTCTAGCATGAGAAAAAATCCGTAGTGAATATCCCCATGTATACCCCATTGCTCGAGGCTATTTATCAAAAATGGTAACAAGTGTTCCGTCAGAGAGCCACACATAATCGATATCGGCTCAATGCAAAACGCATGACTCAAATAGCTTTCTTGGGCTCCCTCTCGGATGAGTTTTGGGATATCCAGGGGGTAAGTCACTCTGCCACCTTGTGTTTGTGCTTATTGTGTTTCATGTGTGTTTTTGAGTGTCTGTAGGTGTTTCTGGGTGCTTCATCGTATTGACGGAGTTGTCAAAACTTCTACAGAAATAAATAAATTTAATGGCAACCATATCCTCAATCATA